CATATTTCTTTAGCAGAGTTACATGCAGATACTCGATTAAATTCATCAGCACATAAAGCACAAAACAAACAATTCATGGCTTTAGCATTAATCGATATTTTTCTTTTATCATCATCATTAAACTCATTTTCATTTTTAGCTACATCTACATTCTCAACTTTCTTAATAGGAATAAAAGGACCTTTAGAAACAATTTCCCACAAGTTATAATCAATTGAAATCAAATAAATTCTCATCCTAGTTTTCCACCAAGTATAATTATTTCCATCAAAAAGAGGTGGTCTAGTGGTAGAATGACCCTCACTAAATCCATTAACCTCAATGTTTGCCATAAGCTCAAACAATTAAGTTTTAAGAAAAGATTCAAAGAAAATAAATTTAGAATTAAGAAAGGTTAACTTTCAAAGATATTAAATTTCAAAATAATTTCAAAGATTTATTCTAGACAAAATAAATTTCCAAGAGTGAAGAAAGAAAAATAGTTTTTAAAAGTCAATTTTTGAGGAAAATTAATTTCTAGTAAAATCGGCTCAAAAACTCAATTTAAACTCTTCTTCAATAATAAAGAAATTTACGGAAAAGAATAATAAATAGTATTAGAAAAAGATAGAATTTTCAGAAATCTATTAAAAAAAAATGAGCCACCTGCTCTGATACCAATTGTAGGATCGAATGGCAACACTAGAGGGGGGTGAATAGGGTTGCTTACCACTTTTTGAAAATTAAAAATAAATTTAAAGTAATGAACAATTATGCAACCAATAAAAGAAGATTAACAAGAAGAGGAAACATTGAGCAAAATATTTAAGTAAACCTATATGCAATCTACCAAGATTCAAAGTAGGTAAATACTGAATTTAAAAGAGAGAAGAGAAGAGAGTGGTGACACCGAGAAATTTTATAGTGGTTTGGAAATTCCTACTCCACTCCCCAAGACTCTTTCTTGGGTATTTTACTGCAGTGGCTCTCTTAATGGGTGAGAACCAAACCGATCGACCCTCTTTTTGTCCTAGGCTTAAGAGAAACCCAAAATCCTTTTTACTGGTTCAGGATCCAACCAAT